GGTATGTCTGCCAGTAAGATTGCAAGATGCTGAGGCAAGGACTCCCATTCCACGAACGGATACCTCTGATTTCGTGCATCTGTGCCCCGCGCTGAAGACACCTCGCAGTTTGAACAACTTCTAGTGAGTCGGATCCCAACAAACAAGGAATGGTATCATTGTCGCACGCCCCCCAATAGTTTCAACCCTCAAGATGTCGCTACCTATACAAACAAAATGACTCTTAGAAAGCGTTGTGAAAATCACTAGGCATGGAACGTAAACAGCTCCAAGACTTCAGAGTCTTAGAACCTGTGAAGATCTGTGCCCCATTCTTCTTCTTCCCGGATTTCACTTCTCGACTCACCTGAACGCCGGAGGGTGGATGATTGTGGAGCTGAGGGATATTGAATTGAGAATTCCCAAAACACTAAGGACCTCACCACTTTCAATTTCAAAGGCGCTGTCACCCCCAATGGTACCACAACACGATGGATCTGGTGAGATTGGATTCTTCCGTGCGCAGGCATCGCAACCTGCACACATTTAAGTTGCTCTCAATTAGTCGGTGGGTCAACACAAACAACGACCATAAATGCTGGAAACACCTTGGCATATTGTTTGAGCACCAACTTCTTCACCGCTGTGGCTCTGACTTCAGAGATGGTGGCCTGGCGTGACAATGGTTGACTGGGGGCCTCATCTTGCCTGGGTGATTGAAAATGAGCTGGAAAAGGTCCAGTCTGAATGTTGAAAGCGTGTCAACACACACCTTCCGCTGTTTCTTGCTACTGAGCTTCTTGTTCTTGGTGTTGCGGCCAGCCTGCCACACGCTTTGCCTATCTGAAACAGAAACATGAAGGAGAAAATGAACGATGACATCATTACAGCTGTACTTACAGGAAAGGAGAGCGACCTTCTTCATCGGGATTTTCTTTTGCTTTTGCTGCCGTTGCTGCGGCGCTTCTGCCTCTGAGTCTGACCTACAGCAAGCATACATAGTTATTCCACCAGAGGTTGCTTTCACGCGCCCACATAATATGCGACCAATATATATATATATTACGGAATGATTTTTCATGTGGAAAGTATACCGCAAGTAAGCAGGTTCATTCCAGAAAGATTGAGTGCAAGGCAGCTGGCTGACAGCCCTGAAGAGCTCCACCATCACCAGCGCAAAGCAGTCACGGCACTGCTGACAGTTTCCGACTTTGAGCCCTCACGGGCCCGGCGGCCCGGTGCGCAGACCGCGCCTTTGAAGCGCTTCCGGAAAACTAAAAAAATAGAAACGAGTGAGTTACCGTAACAACACTATTCGAATTGGTCCCTGTTGTTGTCTGGCCTGACTGTCCACCACCAGCACTTGGAAAACTACCAGAACATGGGCTACTTGAACCTACCACCAGAGAACCCCACGCCAACAAACAGCGTCCCATCTGAAAGGTTCAATGGGCGCCCAGACTCATCAAGTGGGATAATGTTTTTTCTTCGGGGAGCGCGCAACTATCGTGAAACAGTGCTTGCCAACAGCTTCAAAATAATAACAGCAGCTGTCTATGTTCTTGATGGCCAAACACACAGCTTCAGAGCAGTCGGCAGTGTTCACCACTGAACCTACTACACTGACTGACGCAAGAATATTCCATATTGCCAGCAACTGGAGTCACACAGTAGAGAGGCTGCAAGAGCAGTAAGGCTGTGCAACCCCATTGCATTTGGCAACCCCAATGCAAGGAAAACTCCTTTATAGCTTCCAATGGGCCTTCGGACGACAGGCATCCGTCGGCGAGGAAGAGTTGAGACGCCAATTGATGTCTCCCCTGGATCGCAATGAACCTGATTTTGCCAAACTCCTCAACCAAAGGCAACTTGCTGAAGATTGCGCCCGCAAGGCAAAAGCAGCTGTGGTCCTCTCCAACAGCTCCATCCGCCAGCCGATTCGGACCTACCACATCGCTCAACCTGTGATGCTGTGGCGGAAGTTCTTGAAGACCATGCTCTACAAGGGGCGCAAGGGTGGAAAGAAACACGTCATGAGACCACGTTGGGTTGGACCTGGTCGTGTGGTACTACATGAATGGGTACCTGGACAAGGAGAAGGAGACCGAGTTCAAATAGCTTGGGCGGTGATTGGTAGCAACCTCTACCGAGCTAGCATCCACTCCATCCGTCCTCTTTCTGAACGTGAACAACTTCTTTGGGAAGCCCAAGGCGACAACAGCTGGAAGTGGAAAGAACTCAAGGACATGTTACCTGGTCGTGCCTACACCGATGTCACTGGTGAGGAACCAAAACAAGAAGAGACCTTGGAGCCCTACCTGCCGAAGCAGCCCAATGAGGAAACCTACATGCCCAAGGTCCGCTTCCACTCCAAGGACAAGCTCAACCGCTTTGGTTTTCCTGGTGATCTACGACCACCTCCTCTCGTTCCACGACTTCCTGGTGACCATGGAGACAACCCCAACAAGGAGATGCTCAACGACTATGAGGACAAGAAGACCTCCGACGATGACGAGTTCACCGGCAATGAGGACCCTTCCTGGAAGAAACAAAAGACTACAGGTTCCAGGAAACAAGACCCGGTGATACGCATGAAGAGCCCGATGCCAAAAGACCTCGCGCCGAGTCTGACAAGGACGACCTCCTGCTCGACCTCAACACGGCGATTCAGGAGATTGACTGTGGCTATGTGATGGAATTTGACCTCAACTTCACCTCCAACCGCCAGAGGAAGATGTTCATGAGAAATTCTCAGGCCTACTTGGTGAAGAAGGTCAGTGGAGCTGAAGTCTGCTACAGAAAGCTCAATGCGGAGGACCGCAAGCTCTTTGACAACGCCAAGGCTTCCGAAGTCAGCGCTCAGAAGCTGTTCGACGCTGTCTCTCCGTCTCCGAGCAGAACAAGGCCAAGGATTCCCAACGGATCCTCAAAGCCAGATGGGTTCTGGTCTGGAAGCCCGTACCTGAAGAATCGCGACAAGAAGCACTTGAAGCAGCCCAGAAGGAGAACACTACCTACTCTCCTGATGGCTCTCGCAAAGCAAAGGTTCTTGGCTTCATGCACCCCGACCTCGTGGACCCTTCGTTCAACTCCACGGCGCCTGTGCAAAGCCAGCTCGTGCGCAACCTCTCACTGTGCATGGTGGCTCAACGAGGCTGGCATCTTGAAGGTCTCGATATGCAAACAGCATTCCTCCAAACGGGTAAGACCGAAGAAGCCCGTGAGATTTGGACCTATGGTGTCCCAGAGCTCAAACAAGCTCTTGGTGCGGAAGAACATGAAGTTCTTCGAATCCTCAAGTTAACGTCTACGGCAACTCCACAGCACCTCGAGGACTCTGGGAAGATGTTGACCGCACCTTCACGAAGCTTGGTGGAAAGAGGATTCTGGGCGACTCATCATTTTGGGTCTGGACTCGCCCGAATCCCAATCCTCGAAATGAAGGTGACCAGTTCGAGACAATCGGATTTGTTGGCGGCCACGTCGACGACTTCAACAGAGCCGGCAACCTTGCATGTGAGGAATGGCTCAAAGTCCGCCAAGAGATCGACAAGGCCTACAAGTGGGGAACGGTCAAAACTCAGGAGTACCGCCACACTGGCCTTGACCTACAAGTCTGTGAACGCCAAGGTCAACGATGGGTACAGCTAAGCCAGGACTTCTATGTCGAGACGATTCCCGACCTGGCCATGGACGACCACCGACTTCGAGGAGATCTTCAACAAGAAATGTCACCAGCCGAAATGGCAGCATGTCGCGCTTCACTTGGCGCCTTGCAGTGGGTTGCCACACAAACCCAATTGCAAATATGTGCCCGAGTGAACCTCCTGCTGACCGAGCTCACCGTCCTAAAGACCCTGCAGGTTGCCAAGGAAATTCGAGACCTCATCATTGAGGTACGCAGGGAGCCTACAACATTGAGAATGTGGAGGCTGGACGATGTTGAGCACTGGCAGGACACCACCGTGGTGACACTGGCAGACCAAGCCCATGCAAATCGCCCCAAAGGCGATAGCACCGGCGGCCTCATCACTTGTTTGGGAGGCAAGGCCCAAAACAAAGGAGAGCCTGGAAGGCTCAATGTGGTGGCCTGGCGCACTTGGCGCCTACGCCGGAAAGCCATCTCAACAAATGATTGGTGCCAGCTAAACGGATGCTGTGCACTACCTCCAGGAGATCAGCTGGCACGAGCAAACTTCATGATGAAGTTCCTCAACGGCATTGTGGCCACTGACAGCAAAGTGGCTTCGACCCGCAGCGAAGGGCCAATGTTGGGCTTAAGCAACGCCCGAAGCGCCTTACAGGCATACCAACTCCGTGAACAACTCCAAGAGTCCCTCTGCCGACTCATATGGATTTCCGGAGATTGGAACCTGAGCGACGCGCTCACAAAGAAGCCCAAGGCAGCTCGTGAAGGACTCAACCAGTTTCTGAAAAGCTGCATTTGGCGGCTCAGATACGACCCGCAGTTCATCCAGAGCGAGAAGCGGGCAAGGCAGCAAGGCAAAAGCGCAGTGGCCCAAATGAGAGAGCTTCAATGCTTGTGCCCTGGCTACCTCCCTGACACCTTCGAGGGCATGATGCTGGACGCTCTCGAGGACACTGAGGGAGAAGCACCTTAAGCTCGCAAAAGCCAAAGAAAACTTTGAGCTGATGCGATAGCGGTTTTTCCATGTTTGGCTTTCAAGCTCGCGTGACATGTGCACCTGGCCTTTCAGGCCTTGAGCCCCGGCTCGAGCAAGGAAATAAGCTGCTCTGCGGCTACGCTCGTGTTCGCTTCGGCCACTTGGTGTGGCTTCCGCTCCGTCTTCGACCTCTTCGTGGTCTTTGCTTGGTTTGGGTCTAGGGCACTCCTAAAGGCCCTACTTTGGCTACCGCAAACCCCTATAGCTTGCAGCTATCTGGGGAAAAGGTAATTTGGGTTATATAATTTTGCACTTTCGCCTGACCTCCAGGAGCTGAACTTTGGAAAGCAATGGAAAACCACGTGCCACAGACAAACCATTGTCACGCGCACAAGCCTTTTTGGCTGCTACCGCGAGCGCTGTGGTGGAAGCCCTGAGTTATAAAGGCGTGGCTCGAAGGCGATGAAAACGAACTCACCTCCAATTGCCATGGTTGGCGGGTGGAAAGCTCAGGCGCACACGCATCCCCTGATTCCACATGAACATCTGACGCCTTCCAAACAAAACAAGTCGGACAAGGCGGGAACAAAACAATGACGCCCTATCCCCACTGCCTGCTGTGGCACTTGCACTGCTGCAAAGCTGGCGCTGGGTGGATTCTCATCCTTCGATGACCTCAACATCCACCGCGAGGACCGGCAAACAAAGTCCCGCGCGAAGCCAGCCAGCCGATTCATAGCTGGGAGCCCTACACGGCTTCAACTCTTACTTCTGCCCCTCTTTCGACTGCCTGCTTTGCCCACAAAAACCGCGGTGCACTACGCGGTCTTGCCTCTTTGGCAGTCGTCACAAGCGCTGCTGTGGTAGAGGCCCTGAGTTGAACCAAGGAAAGGCTTTTGGCCCGAACAAAAGGATCAAGCGTTGCCCGAAACTCTATCTATCAGGCGAGTTCAGGCGCACACGCATCGCCTGCTTCCACATGAACATCTGGTGCCTTCCAAAGGAACAAAGTCGGACAAGGCGGGAACAAAACAATGATTCCCTATCCCCACTGCCTGCTGTGGCACTTGCGCTGCTGCAAAGCTGGCGCTGGGTGGATTCTCATCCTTCAATGACCTCAACATCCAAACAAAGTCCCGCGCGAAGCCAGCCAGCCGATTCATAGCTGGGAGCCCTACACGGCTTCAACTCTTACTTCTGCCCCTCTTTCGACTGCCTGCTTTGCCCACAAACACCGTGGTGCACCATGCTACCCATGGTCTTGCCTCTTTGGCAGTCGTCACAAGCGCTGCTGTGGTAGAGGCCCTGAGTTGAACCAAGGAAAGGCTATTAGCCCGAACAAAAGGATCAAGCGTTGCCCGAAACTCTATCAGGCGAGTTCAGGCGCACACGCATCGCCTGCTTCCACATGAACATCTGATGCCTTCCAAACAGAACACAAGTCCGACAAGGCGGGAACAAAACAATGACGCCCTGTCCCCACTGCCTGCTGTGGCGCTTGCGCTGCTGCAGGGCTGGTGCTGGGTGGATTCTCATCCTTCGATGACCTCAACATCCACCGCGAGGACACTGACTGCGTCGGCAAACAAAGTCTTGCGCTAAGCCAGCCAACCAATTCACAGCTGGGAGCCATACGCGGCTTCAACTCTTACTTCTGCCCCTCTTTCGACTGCCTGCTTTGACCACAAACACCGTGGTGCACCATGCTACCCGTGGTCTTGCCTCTTTGGCAGTCGTCACAAGCGCTGCTGTGGTAGAGGCCCTGAGTTGAACCAAAACAAGTTACTGTATGTGTAGAGCAACAAGCTCAGGCACACACACATCCTCTGATTCCATCCGAACATCTGACACCTTCCAAATCAAGCGGGTCGGACAAGGTGAACAAAAATGACGCTCTACCTTCACAGCCTTCTGTGGCACTTGCACTGCAGCAAAGCTGGCGCTGGGCAGGTTCTCATCTTTTGATGACCTCAACATCCACCATGATGACAGACCATCGACCCCAATCTGGTCAGGGTAAACTGGGTTTCCCGGAGTAGCTGGGACAAGCAAGGAGATTGTCATTTAGTAGGGAAACAGCACGGCAGCAAGGCAACAGCCACTCCAAGTGACCTTGCAGTGTGACCTCAGAGTTACCTTGCAGCGCTGCTGCGCTTCGCCGCAGCCGCTTTTGCCCGAAAAGGTGCTGCACGCTTGCTGCGCATTGGTTTTGAGGCCACGCCAGGTTTTCCTTTTTGCGGTGCTTGGATTAGAACCAGCTGCGCTGAGCCAGCCGCTGCGCCTCTACTTGGCAAGAGCCTGGGCCTGGGCAAGATCCTTAGGGTCAGAGTGGAACACAACCCCCTCAGACTGGAACCATTGGCAGGTATGGAAGAGCAAGACTTCTTTGGGCGACTTCTTTGAGCGTTTTGGCGGGGGCTGCCTTTCAGCCACAGCGTGTCCAACGTTCCAGTCTTGGCCGAGCTACGAGCGCCGCGGGCCTGCAAGCGCCCCAAGGACCACGTGTCCCAGCACAGTCATCTTCACTCAGAAAAGATCAAAGCGGCTCTAGTGAAGCAGAGCCCCATTCCTGGACGAAGAGGGACATTCCAAAACGTTGTTCGAGAGTCCATCACGCCACCACGTTTTTGTGGCTTCGACCAGATGCCAGTTTCCAAGAGGTCAATCGAAAGGCTTTTCATCGCAAATGGAAAGGAGTTAGACCCAAGGTGGAGGAGAAAGGTTTTGACGCCAGCGATAGCAAGGAGTGGAAAAAGCTTGACAGCAGAGGAGGCCCGTCAGTGGGGCCAAGGGAATGAGTTCAAGGCTCAGCCAGATTCACGCACGGCGCCAGCAGAAATTATGTGGACATGAGTTGGCTGTTCATTCCCGAGCGCGCCTGCGCTCAGGCTTTGCCAGAAAGTGCAGTCTCAGGCCAATGTCACGCAGAAAGGTCCAGCCATATTGGACCAATCACCATGTACCCCCAGCTTGCTCAGACATGTCAAGTGTACAGCATGTCAATGCGCGCAGCAGCGCATCGGCACCAGTGGACATTGCCCTGAGGGAAAAGCAGGCCATATTGTTTCGAGCCTTCCGTACCAAACCTTGGCTCCGCAAGATCTGGTTCCAAGTTCCAACTTAAGTTCCAATTTGCAGCAACCAATATTACATGGCTTTTTGAGGGCGGGCTTTCCAATTTCCTGGAATTCGTTATTGTGGCTTTACCACTTCTGTTTGGCTCAACCATGTTTTTCTAGTCGCGCGACCAAGAAACTTAGCGAGAAGAAAGAGGTATACATACACATGTCCACATAGACCCGCGTGGGTCAATATCAGTCGGACGCTCCCATTGCCTTGCGCCTTGCGCCTCGCGCGTCGGAGTTCAGATGGCCAAGGCCGGCTGCTCGAAGAAGAACTGGGCAGCAAGGACCGTCGATGTCGCAACAGCTTCATCAGAAGAAAACACGCGAGGAGGAAGCCGCCGACCAGGAGAACTATTGCGGATTATGAAGGGCGCTGATGGGTAGTCAGAAGCAGCAGGGCTGTCGCGCTTGAACATTCATCAAACATTTTTGACAGAAGGGAGTCTTAGTCATCCTCTGCCTTCACGCTGACGATGGATTACTGGTCTTGAACTCAAGATATGCAGGGACATCAGGAAGCCGGCGAAGGATCGGGGTCAATGATGGAAGGATCTTGGAAAGGTCTCAGAAGCCTTGCTGGCTGTCAAAACCACCTGTGCCCATGGCAGCTTCACCGACGACATCACAGAGTACATGAGTACATCGACCTGATCGAAAGAGATTGCCGCTGATACCCAGGAGTTCTGCGTTCCATGTGCTTCCACAATTCCTCTACAGAGTCTCATGCCCAGCACGGGACAGGCCACACGAAACTTTGAAGTCTGCCAACAAGGCGCTCAAAAGTATGGCGGAGACATCCCACCTACGTGTTGGGAGCCGCTCCTGGTCAGTTTTTGTTGATGCCTGGGCGCTTGGAGCGCTTCGAAGAGTGGACAAGGAGATTAGCAGCACCTACTCACAGCAACGGATGCCTTCCGCACAATCACACCAGGCCAGCGGTATACGCCGCTGGAGGCCGTCAAAATGGCTGGCGCCGAGTGCCTGATTCAAATAGATGGAGGAGGCAGAGGCTGAGAGACGCGCTGGCATCAAGAAGGCACAATTAGAGCGGAGATGTGACTTGCAGTGGATTCGCGATTCGCATAAGCTTGACGTCGGTGAGACTCGGTGGCTCCGCTGCTGTTCTCGTCCCTTCTGTTTACAAGGCATCCGGACGACCGCGCGGTCGAAAGGTGCTGCGCACTTGCTTTGGTCTGTAGACCACACCTGGTTTTTCCTTGCGCGGTGTTTGGATTAGAGCCAGTTGTATTAGGATTGGCCACCCCACTTACCCACACTTAGTGGGAGGACCAGCTTGCATCATTGCATCATCATCGATCACAGCCTCGTAGAAAGGCCTACAGCAAGCCAATCCAAAACGAAGTGACAGCAAGCAAATCCAAAAAGGAAGTAACACATGAGAGTTCAAAACCCACAAAACAGAACAAAACAAACCGTAACAATTACACTGGCAAAGCCCCGCTAACAACTCATTCTAAAACAGAAGCGTCTGAGACAAGGTCGGCGGGAGGAGACACATGGGGAGACCAGCAAGGAGACTCCTTATTAGCCTTCAGCTATCTGGTGAAAAACAACCCTTTCGGGCAAGGTTGTTATATACTCGTGTATACTCGTGTACAATCGGGTAGTCTTGCCTAAGTGCTTCCATATTGACACTAGCAAGGCAAAATGTCGTGGCAGCCGCCGGGCGCTGTGGTAGAAGCCCTGAGTTAAAGGAAAAGCTACACCTATGTCCAAACAAAAGGCCCCAATGTTGCTCCCAATTCTTTCTATCGGTCTGCAAAATCACAACCTCAGACGCACGCACATCCCCTGATTCCACACGAACATCTGACGCCTTCCAAAGCAAACGAGTTGAGCAAGGCGTGAGCAACCAGCGACACTTTATATCCTTATCCAGGCAGCCTGGTGTGGGACCTCTGCTGCAAAGTATGCGCTCCCCGCCTTCTCCGCATTCAGTGGCCTAGGCGTGTTCTGAAGGACATATGCCCAAATGACCCCCAAGAACAAAGCCATCTATACATTATATAAGCCATTTCTCATACAAAGCATCGCCCCGCGCGGCCAGCTTTGAAAATTTGGCGACGGCGTGATGTATCAACAAGTTTCCTGCAACTAGGAGAACACTCTTCGCCGGGAATGTAAACAAACTGCGTCAAGCCAAAAGGAGGTCCACTCTGTTACACTTCGCATTTGGATTGTTGCCCGCGTGCGCATACTCAGTCTGCTCTTGATCGCAAGAATCACTCAGGGTATGAGCAGCTGGGCGTGAATCCGCCCATTAGGCAATGGCAACATCACAAGTTCGCCATCAAGCGCTGCCCCTTTGCCAAACGATGCCCGATACGAGTACCATGACGCCCGACAACATATCCAAACGTCCTGACAACACCTGGCCTGACACCATGAAAGCATATCAGCGCGACAAAATGTTAACATGTCTATACAATATACACGTCCGCACGACAGCATCATTTACAACAGGTCAGCGTGACGCCTCAGCAGGTCAGCATGACATCAGGTTAGCGCCGCCAAAAGCCCCGCGTCAGCATGACATCATGTCTATATGTTGTTTATGTTTTAGCATGCAAGGTATGCATTGTGGTAAAATAGTAATTTATGTTTGCAACTTGAATCCGTAAAAGCTGTTGGTAAATAACAACTACCACTTTTTGTTGTTATTGCTTTTTTCACTGAAGCACAAATATATGATGTTTATAGGTAGGATTTAAAAAATAGGTAGGTTACTTGATTGTTTATTTATTTCAACAACATAATCAACTACACGGTAGCGTGACCGAGCGACAAGAGTTGGAACGCCGACGCAACAGCGCACACCACACAAGCATGTAGCCTGACGGCGTGACAGCTTGTCAGCGACTGACAACACACCAGCATGATGCAATGTCAGCATCACGCTTATATAAGTCGAGCACTTGTAGCTACACATTCTCAAACATCATGTGTCCAAAAGAACGCAGAAAAAGAACAACTTCAGCACTCTTAAGAACCTTTATCCGTCAGCAATACTCGCTGCACGCTCACAAGAATGCGAAAAAAACGGATTGACACACAAAAAATGCGTGCAAAGGGTTGAAAAACCGCAAAAAAAGTGACAAGCATGCAAAACTCCATGTTTGTTGCTTTATTGTTTGCTTTACCCTTTGCTTGCGTTGCTTTGTTTTGCTTTAAATATCTATTGGGCTCCTTGTTTCTATGGCTGCCGCGCCGGTTTCAACACTGCGCTGTAACAATGTCGGTGTAACATGTCTGCAAAGTGCTGCGGAAATTGCTCCGGAACCTGTCCCGGCTGATCCTGAACCCGGTCCACAACCTGCTCCTCCAAAACATCCTTCAGAACCTGTTGTGGAAATCTGTGGAACTTGCACCGGAACCTCCCCGTAACCCCGGAACCTTCCCCGGAACCTCTTGAATCCTTAAGACCCCAAAGCTTCGATGTCAAAAGCTCCAGTAATGATACTTTTGTGTTGAGTGCAGAGTGCATGACACGCCTTGCAGTCAGTTGCGGTCAGCCAGCAAACCTCCTCCAGAACCTGCCTAGGCCTAACGTGTGTCTGAAAGACCTGCTGTCCAACCGCTGAAGTCCAGAATTATATGTCGCAAGGTTCCAAAAAAAAACCGCCCACTAGGAGCCATACGCTGCTTCAAATCTGATTTCTGCGCCCCCTTCGACAGCCTGGTGTGCCACAATTCTGTCGTCTCTGCGCTTCATCAGCTTCGACTCTTCTTGCCTGCTTGACCATCACAAGCGCTGTGGTAGAAGCCCTGAATTAAAGAAAAAACGTGAAAAAATACAACGACCTACCCTTTCTATAAAGTGACAAGCTCAGGCACGCACGCATCTCCTGACTCCGCGACGGACGCCTTCATGCAAGAAGAAAAAAAACCTTTTGCGGAACGACTAGACTAGGAATTCTAAATCTAAAAGAGACAAAACAAATGCGTTTGGGCCCTATCAATAAGTTGTAGTCAGGATTAGTCGGGCAACCTTTTGAAAGTGACCTTGTTAAAGGCATCAAGCACCCCTGTTTTCCCTTGTCTTTGTTGGACAAAAGAACTTACATTACAGTATATTATATTCCAACTCTCCTACTTGGTTGCAAATGCCACTCAATTGTACGCCCCAAGAAGTTGATCCGACAGCCTCCACTGCATGAGGCCTCACAAATCAATCTCAACCACGCACGATGGCAATAACTTTGCTCTGTATCTCCCGGCGCCAAGGAGCTGTGCGGTTGGGATGGGCGGCACGACTGCTGGAGGGGGCCGTGTTGGCAGTTCCTCGTTTTGCGTCAATATTGCTAGAGCACGAAAAGCGAAACAAAGGGCATATAATTTTCCGCTCTGCTTGGGTGCGACGATGGTCGAATCTTGTTTTCTGGAAAAAACTCGAGCAACTTCTCCTTCGCACCTTCCAGGTCACCGCCAGCACTAAAGGAGTCCTGCCACATTCGACAAACCCCAGAACCCCTATAGCAGCTTCGCAAGTACACCTCCTCCCAACATGCTCAAGTTTTTTTTAGTATCATACAAAACTGAACCACACACTGTTCTTGTCCGTGTCTACGCTTGCTTCGAAAAACACTGCATTTGACAACCGACAACATGCTACAGTCCTTTGCACCCTCTACGCCGGCATCCACTCTGATGAAATCCTTTCAAAAGATCAGCACGAAACCACCGCGTACCAATTACGCGCAGCAAGCCAGCTCTGGATTTCCCTTCTACCAGTCACTACCAAAAGATTGGGCGGCTTGGAACCATGATTGCAGAGACCAGGAGCCGCCAAACCAAAGCGAAACACACGCGATGAAAGGAAGGCCGCCTAGACTCTAGTTTTCCGCTAGCGATTCAGCTCAAGGCCTATACGGCCGCGAACAACAGGCATGAAACTCAACCTGATGACATGGACGTGCTTTCTCATCCGTCCAAATCTTTTGTGAGTTTCAGGCCGCTCTTGCTCTCAAAAAAAGGTTACCAACCTCAAGGCGCGGGTTGGCAACACTCGCTGGATGTTCACCATGTCCAGCACATTCGCCTTTTCCTCCAGCAAGCGCCATCTTGGCAATCCGGAGGTCTTGAATTCTCCCAACGTCGTCCTGACCGGAAACTCCATCACCTGGAAACGGGGAGCCGGAGAGCGGAAGCTCTTGGCATGTGTCGCCACATGGACACCGATGTTCTCGTTTCCGTTGAAATGCCATCCAGGTGACAGCGCGTAGTGGTTGACGTGCCTCATCAACTCAAAGTCCTCTGGGCCCACATCTCTGCCAGGGAGTTCGCTTGAGTTCATCATGAGGTCTGTGTCCTTCTTCGGCTTCGAAGTCTGGCGGATGAAGTCAGGCTGACATTCAATGGACCACTGTCCACGTTGGACTGTTTGCCGAAAATGGCTGCTGTCCATCATCTTCGCGCCACAATCTATGAACATGTTCTGTGTCGAGGTCCAGTGGTACTGAGTTTGTGGCAAGCGAAGCTGTTGCCTGATGTTGGCAATGGAGAACATGAGGCTTTTCTGGTCGCCGAAGCCGACATCTGAACTCACCCTATCATAGCAGTCCTTGGCGTCCGTCACTCCAGTCAACGGGATGTTGGTCACCATCAGGTACCCGTTCTTGTGGTGGACTGGAAATCCCCGGGCCGCTGCGAGAAAGCCCCTTGTCAGCTCGCCAGCATCTAGCCCTTCCTCGGCACCGAGGGTTTCAGCAGCATAGCTCGACCGAGCAACTCTGGGGATCCTTTGGGAGCGGTAGTCCAGGACCGAAAAGCAACCAGTCTTGCCGCTCAGCGATGCAGCGTCAGCCAAAAGGACAATGTAGCAGCCTTGCGAAAACACCTTCTTCGCTGGCTCACCTGAGTTTCTGCCCTGGCTATCAACGTTGCCAAGTGCAGCATCAGTCACAACAAGCACTCCAGCTTGCTCCAGTGGGGCGCGACCAAACTTCAGGTAGAAGCCCTCATCCTTCTTGGCATCAATGACTGCTTTGTTCGCTCGCAAGAGCGTGCTGACGGTATGCGGCTCTGACTGAAGGGTGCTGATCTGGAATCCAAGGTCAAACCTGACCTGAGCGACCAACCATTGAAGCGATCCAAGGAGCCCACGTAGGGTCTTCACCTCTGAATGGCGCTTCCAAATTGGAGCGTCTGCTTCCCGGGATCGTCACAGGCTTCAACTGTGAGTGGTAGGTCTTCATGTTCACATGGATCTCCTTGGTCTCTGGATCACGATAGATCCTTTTGCCACACCATTGGAAGTTCAGCTTCAACTGAGCCATAACCTAGGATCTCACCCAGGCGCATCAAGCTATCCAATGCTTCTTGATCTCCAGTGAACAACAGGTCGTCCACGTGTCCAACAATGACTTCATTCAGCTTCTTCTCTTTGCCACGCCACCGGTACCAAAGAGCACCATCTAACACGCTACGGCACCAGCCTTCCTGACGTAGCTCTCGATCAAGTCGAAGCCACCATTCTCTGGGAGCATCTGCCAAGCCGAAGACACCTTTCAGGACTTTGGCTACACAGCCAGCTGCGATTGGAATAGCTGGGCCTTTTGAGCCATCTGTGCCTTTGATGAACAAGGTCCTCTTCAGGTATGGATCTCCTTTCAAGAAAGCAGCTCTGACATCAGCACTTCGCAAGAACCATGAAGGATTGGCACCTGCAATGCAAAAGAGCACATGCTGAGCTAAGCGACAGCCAGTGGGAGCGTCCCTCCTCAGTTCACCCTGGAGGTTGGCCACGTCCTTGTAGCCGGGGATCACAATGCGAGATGAAGCCTTGAGAGGCAAGGGACATGAAGGCGTTCTCAAGGAAGCGTTCTTGTCCGTCAGGACCAACCGGGGGCAGAGCACACGGTCAAGTTGACCCTTGCGTTCAAGATCTTGCAGCACAGACTTGCTCTCTGCCAAGGAAAGAACCTCAATGGCACTGTTCTCAAGCCATTTGCTCCATTGCTCCCGTGTTGCTTCACGAAAGGCCTCCCTTGTAGTCTCGTCCATTTGAGACCATCTCAACTCTTTGTGTCCGGTCATAGTCACCCAAATCATCATCATCAGGTCCACCTCCGCCTCCACCATCAGGAGCACCACCACCAGGCTCTGACGACTCCGTTGCTGCACGGATCACATCAGCCAAGATCTCCTCCCACTCTGCTGAAGAGAGCCGCTCCAAGGTTGAAGCAGGTCGAAGATGTTCCATGGCACATTTCGTCAGGTTGCCTCGATAGGCGATGTAGGCGCCAGTGGGGATCTTGCCATTGATTGAGGATCAAGCGCTTGCGCTTCGTGCCACGGCCAGCCATCTTCTGAACACGGTAGAAGTAGACGATGTCACCAAGCTGATAGGTGGTCCATGAAGCAGCGCGTCTTGCTCTGGCAAATTCAGCTTTCCTCAATGAGGCACTGTACTTCAGGCGAATCATCGCCACTCTGGCATTCTCCGTCATAGCCATCTGGCGAGGAAGCGAAGGGGAGTTCTCGATGAGAGAATGTGAGGCCAATCTCAATCTCAAATCATTCGGAATCACTTCAGCCAAGGCACGAGGTTGCTTGCCTAGCACAAACTGTGCCGGAGAGTAGCCAGACTGGCCAATGTCTTGGTCGCCAGCATCCACAGCAGCAGCTAGAGCAGCTTGTACTTCCATTCGTCCTTGACACCTGAAGTCTTTCACCAATTTGCCCACGATGACCTTCAATGAGCCACCAGCGCGCTCTGCTAGACCGTTGGCCCATGGGCTTTCCACCGGTATGTGGTACAAGACAATGTCGTGCGTGTCCATGCATGGCTGCATCTTGTCAGAGGTACACTCTGGGCCACAGTCCGCCACCACCACTCTTGGGGCTCCCAAAATGGGAATCCACGAAGTTTGCAAGAACTTCACAACCTCGTCGGCAGACTTTGCTTCCATGGTCTGAGCCACCTGGTACGTCGACACCATGCATGACCCAAATGGTCTCGCCATGCAAATCCTTCACCGCTACCAAGTCGACATGCACTTGATCTCCAAAGTTCCAAGGCTTCGGCAAACTAGCCGGTCGATGAGAAGCTGGGCGCCGATGCTCCAGACAGGTGTCACACCTTATCTCTTTTGCTGCCTTGATCAGCTCTGGCGCAGCTCCAGCGATGGCCAATGCCTTTGCCAAGCGAAGTGGTGCACGATAACCAGTGTTCTGGTGTAGTCGAAGGACAGCTTGTTTCTGAGCTTTCGTAGGAGCGCCAACACCAAGGTCATCCAGAGGAAGATCATCCTCCATGTCAAAGTCATCCTCATAGGGGTTGACCACAGCCATAGGCTCTTCATCGCCGCCAACGATGGGCTCCACACCATCATCCCGGGTTCAGTCTCAGTGGCCAGACCTCACCAAAACAGGTCTCAAAAGGCGCGTTCACCTTCATATTCAAACTGGCGCTCAAGACCAACAACGATGGCCTTGGCCAATGCTGGAGGGTATCGTCCAGCCAAGCGAGCCGTTGAGCCACCAATGACATGCTCATGCTCATGGTCACCTGTGCAAATGTTGCCGCTCAGTTCAATTGCCACCTCCTCTGATGAAGTGAGCACCCAAGTCCTTTTCCGATGAAGTCCACCTCCAGGTCCACGCAAGCCGAACTTGCATTGATCTAGCTCAACCAGAGAAACTCTTGGCAGTTCCATCAACTTGCGAAGAGACGGAATCGACTTCCAGGCCAAGGGTTCTCCATGACAAAGTGCTTCTTCCGCTGCAATTGCCGGTGTGCCAAGGCAACAGCGAAATCAACCAGATTGTGCTTTTTCCTCCTCCATCGAAGAAGCGTGGCGCGATGTCTATCACGAGCTCGAAGGGCCTGAAGCGGGGACCAAGGACCACAAGGAAAGGCGATGATCTGAGCAAAAGGGTCAGCTGCAGCAGTCTCCCATAGGGCTCGCAGCTAAGAAATCATACCCGTGCAAGGTCATGCTAGGCATGGTATTGTGTCCTCTCAATTCTGCCTGCTTCTTGACTGAACGGAGTCAGTGAAGGTCTCACCAAGTAGGGGTCTTCGGGCCCGATCTCCATGCTCTCTCACTGCCTCCAAGGTCTGTCGCAAGTCACCGAACTCAGGCACAGAGGGGATCGTCATCTCACTGACAAAGGTTTCTTTCCAACCCTCAATGATGTCCATCTTGAGGTTGTACTCTGAGGCTTCCAGGATGTCCTCAATCTCATTGAAGTCCACAGTGAGGGCCTCATGAAGTCGACGAAGACGGTTACTGTCTGCTGCAAGCCTCTCTTGAGTGAGGACAGAGTCTTCTTCACAATCTTGCCGATGCTCTTGCTCACATGTGATCGTTCGCATCGGTTCTCTCCACGTCCTCCTCCAAGTATGCTGCTTCTGTCTCCACCTGGTCGATGTCTCTCAGAGGCACACGAGTCGTGTCGGTCCACATTGCTTCGTCCATCTGCAGATGATAAAACGATTGGGCTGTCTTCCACCTCCTGAGTGTCCCAAGCCTGACGTTCTGGACGGGGCTCCTGCAGGCGCAACTTCCGAAAGTCGGCTGGAGGAAGATTTCGCAAAGCGGCAAAACCATCTTGCGAAGCCAGATTCACTATCTGCGGCGTTCGAGCTGCGGAGGGTTTTGGCTTCGCTTTCGCTGCTGCTGTCGACGGTGATTGGGGCAGTTCTGGAGCC